AGTTTTTCTAAGCAGTTCAAGCTGATCGCGAACTCACACTGTAGCCTATGCTGTCCTGGGACTCACAGTAACCCTCCTGCCTCAGTCTCCTCAGTGCTGGGATTACAGGTGTATGCCACCATGCCCAGTGCATACGAATTTTTGTACAGTACTTAGATGTGGAATTGCCAGGTCAGAGAAATATATACTTTTTCATTTTGAAAAGTCCTGTCAAATTCTACCTGAAAAGTTACGGACCAATTTATAGAACCAATGCCCTGGCAAAGAACCTATTCTGCCAACACTTGCCAATATCAATCTCCGTAATTTCTGCACCAGTGTAACAAGCACTTTTTAAAAAAGTCTGTGGGGCTGGGGAGATAGCTCAGTAGAATAAACGCTTGCCTGGCAAGTGCAAGGGCCTGAGTCCAATCCCTTGTTCCGCAAAAAAAAGTCTGTGTAGTCAAACTAGTGATTTTCCTGCCTCAGCCTCCCAAGTGCTGGGATTACCACCATGCCTAGCTTCTCGGTTGTTTTAAATTGTTTCCTTGAGGACTGTTTGGGGATGAATAACTTCTCACGTCTGGGTTCATCTGAAAACCTCACACTGGAATTGCACTGTTTCTGGTCCATAGTTCTCATTTAAAACATGCAATTCTAGGGAACGAGGGGCAGGGAAGTTGGTCTGACCTCCTGGCAAGTTTGCTCCAACAGTCCCATTTTGTGGAAAGGAAACTAAGGAAATCATTGAAATCTAAGAAAGAATGAAAAAAGACAGAGTACAGCTAAGAGGGCATGTAATACCTTTTAACTATAAAGAGACTATGGCACAAGCCTCTGATCCTAACACTAAGATCCCAAGTTTGAGCCTAGCCTGGGCAATTTAGAGCGGTCCTGTCACAAAATTCAAAAAAGGAAAAAAATCCAAAAGATGAGTTACCTAATTGAGATTATATTAGTATGAACACAGATATACAATGAGCATAAGTAAAGAAAATAAAGTATAAGACAGTATGTCAAGTACTACCTATACCTATATAAAAATATATAGAGACACACACATTAGCACATTAGTAAAGGAATTGATGGATTCCACTTAATTATTAGAGGGCTCATGAAGGGATGACTAGGAAACTTTCATTTCCATTTGTTACATAAATCTCTTGTTTATAAAGATTCTCCAAAAAATTCAGTATTCTTTTTATAGGGAAAGTAAAGATTTTAAAACAACAACAACAAAGGATTGGAAAAAATGATTTAAAGGGGCAGGGGAGATGGCTCAGTAGAATAAGCGCTTTCCTGGCAAGCCCAAGTGTCTGAGTTCAATCCCCGGTTCCACCAAAAAAAAAAAAAAAAAAAAGATTTAAAATGCTTACATTACAGGAAAAGTGAACTTCATTCCTGACCTTTGCCCTCAGTAAATATCCATACTTAGGTTGGAGGCTGTTACGATTTGTATCTAGGCAGAACCTCACGTAGTCTTAGACTTTTTTGGAGGTGGCTGAATCTACAGTGTGTGATGCTGGGATTAAGGGTGTGTGCTTGCTGAATCAGTCCCAACTGGTTTGGCTCCATCCTAATCCCAGCAGTTTAGATACTTGCTGCTTTTGCTGTCTTCCACCGCTGTGAACTGCTGCCCTTCTGCCATGCAACCCCTGCCTTGGAGCCTGCTGATTATAGACTGAAGTCTAAAAACTGTGACCTAAATAAACCTTTGCTCCCTTAATTTTGGGTGTCAGGTATTTTGTCTCAGCAATGAAAAAAGCTTAACTAAGACAGAGTTAAGATTTAATTTTTTTTATTAAAATAGAAAATTGCTATATCACCCAAGACAAGAAAATGAGGAAAAATTTTCTGTCTCTTCCTTAGTTGAGATTCTGTGAAACAGTTATATTACTTATAAAAAACAAAAATGCATTTGGGAATAAACTCAAGGCTGGTGGGCATAAAGGGGTCTATGTAGGCTATGAATTTATTTGCTTGTTTTTGAGACAGGGTCTTTTTCTGTTAATTCAGGCTGGCTTCAAGCTCATGGCAGTCTTTCTGCCTCAGCCTCCCAAGTCTGGAGAGTACAGGCATATGCTCAGACTGATTACATCCTGGCTCAGACTGATTACATCCAGTGTAACAGAGCAGAAAGAATGGTGACATGATGCTCTCTTTGTCAGGGCAGGCCTAGGCTCTGGATACTGTGGGGGTGACAGCACCAGGGTGGGGAGGCTGCTTCCTGGTACCATGGAAAAATGTGCCCAATTGCAGACCTTGAGGCTAGATGAAGGGCATAATGAGATCACAGTACTATTACCCAACATTACCAAAAAAAATTCTGGAGGCCCAGGGAAGACAGCATGGCCAGACAGGGGAGAGAAAACCAAGTGATTTGAGGAAAAGCATGCCCTTAGCATATTTTGTTCTAGAGAAATGGGTCCCAAAAATGTATACACTAGATGTCAAGACACTGAACTAGAATATAATATCCATCGAAAGGGGGACCAGTGAAATAAAAGTACTTATAAATTATTCAAACAAGGCAGATCTTTATGCTGTTGTTAAAAAGAGGGACCAAAACACACTACATAGAAGCAAGTCTTAGAACAGAATATATATAGTATGAAGCACTGACACCCAAAAAGTTCCACAGGCTATGGGTCCAGAAGATGGGGGGAATTGGGAGAGAAGGGGAAGGGGATGTAATAAGAATTAAGATGTGCTGAATGTCATCGTTATGTATTAGAAACATGTACTAATAAAAACCTTACACAGGCTCATGTATGTTACATAGCCAGGTGCAGTAATATACACCTACATTTCCAGAACTCTCGGATGCTGAGGCAGGAGGACTGCAAGTTTGAACTCAGCCCAGAGAACTCAGTGAGACCCTTATCTCAAAAGAAAAATGTTTGTATTCATTTCCAGCAACTAAAAAGTCTTGAACATGTCTCAATGTGTCTTATAGTTAATGAGGTCATTGGATTCAAGAAAAAAGGTCTTGTCAGATCAGGACAAACATGATTGCCTGTGTTCTCATTTTTTTGAGATACATATCAATGTAGGCAGGGGTAGAACAACTTATCTGGGATTTGCTCTAGATTGCTTGGGCAAAGCAAAGAAGCTGGGCATGGTGGTACACGCCTGTAATTCTATCAGTCAGGAGGCTCAAGCAGGAGGATCACAAGTTCAAAGACAGCCAACTACATGAGACCCTATCTAAAAATAAATAAAAATAAGAGGGGGCCAGGTTTAAAACACCCTCCCCAACCCACTAAGGAATACATGAAGAAATATGAAAAAATCTTACTATTCAGTTTGGATACTGGACATATTTGGGTCATTAAATTATTTTATTTTTATGTATAATTAAAAAATGTTAATAAGGGGGCTGAGGAGATGGCTCAGTAGAATAGGTGCTTGCCTGGCAAGCGCAAGGGCCTGAGTTCAATTTCTGGTTCAAAAAAAACCCAAAAAACTAGTATAAAAATGTTCATAACAAAAAGGACAGGATTACACAAGGTAGAGAAGCGCATGAGTGAGGCAGATCCAGCCAGATGACCCGGGCAGGTCCCCAGAGCCTGACTAGCTGAGGGCTCCTGGGAGGCAGAGAGGCAATTCTAGTAGGGAGAGAAGGGTGAGCCCATGCAGTGTGACTGCTCCACTGAGACGAGTTCCCACCAAGCACTACCCTCCCCTGTGTCCCTACCCCGGCATCTCAGCAGGAGGACATACCCAGGATATGGGGCAGAGGGACTTGTACACGCGCCGGTACCACTCGCAGACAGAGATATCACCCCCTTTTTCAGTCATTGCCTTCTGGCAGCGGTGATAGTCTGTGAACAAAAGGGGCCAGGATCAGTTCAGAACAAAGGCTGCAACACACTCTTTCTTTTCCCCATTTATGTATTTGGTATGGGGTCTCACTACACAGCTGACTTGTAGTGATCCTCCTGTTTTCAGCCTCCCCAGCGCTGAGATTATCGGTATGTGCCACGATGCCTGGACTCTGTCACTGGCTCAGCGCGCCTGTGCGCTGGGGCTGGCGCGGCATACGGGGCCAGGTGCAACAAACTTTTGATCAAAAATCAGAAGTACTATTTCACAAATAATTCTACACACACACTCCAGGTTTGCAAGAGTATCCAAAAGGGCTAGACACAGCTTACTAAACTGATTTTGTAAACCTACAGAACTGCTATTTAGTTTCAAAATCTGGGCGGTCAGGAATAATAGGGAAACAAGAGGGCTGGACTGGGGAATTTTCATAGTCCAGAAACAGGGCAAGGCAAGAGGAAAGTGGTCTTGATACTAAGATGTGGCATCCCAGAGAGGAAGGTAAAGAGGACAATCTTTTTTCAAAGTAGGCATACTATTTAAAAAACCCCACCCACCCACCTACCCACCCACCCAAAACATTACTCCAGGTATTCTAGTCTTGGGCACATTCCCTAGAGAAATACACATAAAATTACATTTATAAGGCTCTTTAAACAGCACCATTCCTACAAGTATCAACATGGAAATCACACAAATGTCTATGAATCAAGTGAGTTGTGGAAAAATGAAAAAGAGCCAATTACGACATATACAGATGAATCTAAAAAAAAAAAAAACTAATAAAAAATCTAAACACAAAAGCAACACAGAACAGTATTTATAAAGTTCATAAGGAGGTAAATTGAAATGCAGGGGATCAAACTAAAATGTGATCACCTTAGTTGGTGGGTCACATTCTCTAGTGGGGAATAATGCTGTGTTCAACTCAGGGCACAAAATAGGTAGAGACAATCAGTGTGCGGGCAATATCTATTTTTGTATGTAGATAATGGTGTAGAGGCTTCACTATAGGATTATTCATTTAGCTATATGTATTTAACTTATTTCCTGCACGTATACTGCCTCTAAAAAAAGTCATCACAGGAACCGAAGTTTGTGGCCTTATTCCACAGCCTGAACGATGTTGGTGATAAGAAGCATGAGTCCTCCAGAGACAGGACATCAAGAATAAAAGGAAGAAATTCCAGGAGGCATGGATCCCTCTGGAGTAGGCAAGAGGTTAAGGTCTTAAGGTGCAACACTAGGGAAAGTCTGCATCCTCCACCACCATGCCTTGCTCACCCAGGTAGTTCTGCCAGCAGTTCCTGGTCTGGTTCTGATTGGGGAAGCGGCTGTCAAAAGGGGCAGTCTTGTAGTTCTTGATTTTGGTCTTGATGTCTTCTGCCATAGTGCTGACTTCCTGGAAGCAATGAAAGGGGGTCCTGAGCACAGGGAGCCAAAACAACGAGGCCCAGCTGAGGAAGCCCAGACACAGAAGAATGGGTTGTGCTAGGACCTCCTCGCTCTCACTCTTCACATACAGACACAGTGGGAGAGCACATGCATATGTCTCTGTGTGGCAGTCAAATCAGGGTTTCTGGGGAACTCCTCAGCGAACTCAAGACTGGTCCCTAAATACTACCAGCTAATGCTCACAGAATGCTTATTACATGCCAGGTACTGTTTTATCCACTTTATTCCTAACCCACTCTCACAGGCAGGAACTATTCCTATCCTGTTATCCACACCAGGAAGAGACAGGATAGGAATGACTTCCCAAGGTCACACAGCATACAAATGGTGGTTTGCTGTCATCACTGGCATAACCTACACTGCAAAGGTTAATTGTCACAAACTTCTTGAGGGTCTGATGAATCCCTACGCCTCTATCTCAGAGTATGTTAAATTGTATACAATGACTGAAAATCAGTTATATCTAGCTAATAATTTATTAAGTACCACAATTTCAAAGTAAGCATGGGCAAAAATGGTATTTTGTACACTTCTGGCTGTACCATGGCAGATGAGCGTGATTTGGCCTGCTGACCAAGCCACAGCTGCTACAAATAATCCTGAAGTTGCCCCTCCATTCCTAATGGCAGGTAATACTGTATTTCGATCACAGGATGGTAAAAATACGGCCACCTCTGTGAAGATCACCTCTGTGATCTTCGCCACCTCTGCCACCCATTCAAGTACTAACATTCCTTGAATACTATTGATTCTGTGGACGCAGTGGTGAAAACCTCTGGCACACGTCTGAGAGAGTGACACAGTTTTCACCAGAGTATGTGAAGGAAAGGGCCTATACTCCAGAGAATTAGAAGAGCTATGGCGCCACACAGAGGTAGGTGCACAGGCCAGTGTCCAATTCTAGAGGCCCAAGGTAGTGGTGGATGTTTTAGTCGTAGGGGAGCGTGGAGAAAGTGAGGATGCAGGTTGTAAAATATTACCAGCCGGGACACAGGCCCAGTCGCTGGGGCAGTTTTGCGCGAGATCTCGACCTTGTATCTGTAGGTATGGGTGGACCCAAAGATTATCCTGCGGCCCCTCCAACATCCAAGACAGGATAGAAGAGGCACCGAGGGAAGACGCCTGGCTTCGGCCCAAACAAGCCGCAGAGCCCACGCTTGTGGACCTGGGGATTAAAAGTACCGCAATCCCAATGACTGGATCCAAATCCCGGTCCCTTGCGTAGCTTCTGCTAAGTCGCTTAACGTCGCTGAACCCCGTAATCACAGGCCCTAAATAACGAAGCTGGAAGGAGGATTCAATACGCTAACAGTTGCTTAGAACGTCGCCTGGTATTAAGGAAGAGCTAGTATACCTTAGCTATCACTATTAGCAGAACGGAACACCAGGGCCTCAGGCGGACCGCCGCCGCCAGCAAAAAGCCTCAGCCTCAGCCCATTATCGAGGAAGCTGGGGTCCGGTTCCTCAGTCCTCCGGGCTGGGGTCTCAGGTTCCCAAGGGCTTCGCACTCACCTAAATACAACCCTGAAGCAGCAAGCAGCTCAATGTGACCCTCAATTCAGACGCCACTGTCAGACGGGAAGCGGAATTCAGACGAACCGGAAGTTGGGTATGCCGAGACCAGCGAGTCCTCCAAGCGGCTAGAGCGGCCGGGGTGGGGCGCGGTCTCCAAAGCTACTCAGGCCCCGCCCATCAAAAAGAACTCCGACCTTCTATTGGTCTGAATGTCTGTTCATCACCACAAGCCAGCCCAATCGTGAACATCATATATCTATATCTGCATAAAGATACTAGTCTTAAATTGGTACTGTACGCTTTTGTTTTGTTTGTTCGTTTATGAGGAAAAGGCAGGTATTTTGCATCCTGGGACTGGCCGGAGAGTGGACGTGGGGAAAAGGTCTCAGCGAAAGCACTTTTATTCATGCGAGAAATACTTATTGAAAAATTACCTGTGTAAGTACTGACATTTGGTTGAAGAAAATAGAAATATTCCTAGCCTTGTAATTATTACGAGATGAGCCTGGCGCAAGGTAGGGTATGCCAGGTGAGACCAGCTACTCAGAAGGCTAAGACGAATCACAGGTCAGCCTGGACAGTATAGCGGGACGCTATCAAAATACAGTTAAAAGGTTTTAGGCGGTAGCTCAGTGGTGGAGCGCTGTGCAGCATGCGTGCGGCATGGGTTCAATCCCAATACCAAGAAAAAGAAGTGCTTATGGATTAATCATCTCACCCCCAGTATCACTCGTTATAGTGTGAGGAATGCTCTGGTCATTACCATCTTAACTCAAACCTCAGAGGGCGTAATTCAACAAATATTGGAACGGCTGAGAGCTTAAACGCCAAAGTTCAGCATCACAGAGAGGAGAGATTAGAAATTAGAAACTGGGTCCTCTGAAGGGACTGGCTGAAATCGTTCTGAGAAAATGGCAACTTGCTCCTACTCAGAGTTATTCTTGACTGTTTGTCTCACACCCCATCGTTGATCTATCAAGAAATTTTTAAAGTTCTGCCTTAAAAATGTTCTCAGAACTCCTCTCCATTACCAGCATTTCAGGCCACCATATTCCTCAGCTTGGACTACTGGAGTAGCCTGCTCGCTGATCTGGCTTACCCTTGCCTTCCACAGTGCGAGGAATTGGCCAGAGAGAGGCTCGAACCCTCAGTAACTCTTCTCAGCCCAGAACAGTTCTTCTAATGTGTGTGTGTGTGTGTGTGTGTGTGTGTGTGTGTGTGTGTATCTTCTTCACTACTGCATCAGAAACAGTGCCTGGCACATAGGGGGTGCTGTATAAAATATTTGCTGGATGAGTGGATTTCTTGTGTAAGCGAGGGTGGCAGCTGATGGCTAGGAAAGGGAGCTGTGAAGGAGAACTGCTTTCCATTTCCACCCCGGCCTGGTCTCTGCAGCTTCCCACACCCTGCACAGTGTGCCTGCTTGGCTAGGTCAGGGGCCTCCTAGTACATTCTGTGTCCATCAACATCATTATGTGTTTGTGGAAATTATCTGTTTACTTTCTGTTTGTTCGTCCCTTTTGATCAGATCTTCGTAAACCTCAAATCCTCCCCCTGCTTAAACTTTTCCATGGCTCCCTAGTTCCCTGGGACAAAGTCCAAATGGCCTCTACCATTCCCTTAAGGGCAGTACCAGAGTTCCCCCCACACTTCTGGGCTCAGATGAAGGAGTACACCCAGTCATACCGGGGGATTCATGCGCTGTGCAGTGAACTTTAATGGTGACACCGGCAGGTGACAGATGTAGCAGATAAAGCCCTTTCCTTTCTGCCCCAGAGGTACAGCTCCATGGCAGTGTTTCCACGTGGCCTGTCTGGATGACACTCCGTACCTCCAAGCAGCCATGTCCTTCCCTGTGAAGCTCAAGCAGCTAACCAAGGTGTCAGCTTGCACCTCCATCTCCCCCACTTGACTGGGCCCTGGGTTTGCAGCTGAACTGTGGTATGTGAGGTTTATCTCAGCAGTTTCCTAGGGAGTGAGGAGGAACAGGGCCAGTAGTATTGTCCTGAACATGAGCGAGCCGTATCCTGCAAGGAGAGTTCCAGTTTGGCAAATAAAAATATAGGACACTCAGTTAATTTTGAGTTCTGGATAAACAGCAAAAATTTTAAAAATCCAAATATGTCCAAATATTGTATGGGACATACTTATGCCAAACATGATTTGTCATTGGGATGGGTTACTTTTTATTTTAAAGAGAAGACAGAATAAAAAAAAAAGATATAGAATTTGAAAACAATCCAGTAGGATATTATCACTCCTTGATAATCCAGTGAAGAGAAGTGTGTATTGCAGACCCATTGCGGGAAAGGTTTCAGTTTCTCCCTGTTTCAATTTTTATGTCTGACAGCAGGATGTAAAACTGTGGTGCACCCAGGTAAACACTGTACCAAATACTGTACTGTACCAAAAATACCATTGTTTCAACACGTAGTCATGTTTTAAAAATTATTAATGAGATTATTTTAAATTCATATTTTTATACTAAGTTCCCCAAATCCTGTGTACATTTTACCCTTATTGCTTAGTTCAGTCGAACCAAATCTCCAGTGCTCAAAGCCACTTGTCACAGTGGATGCCTAA